AAAAGCTTTGAAAAGTAGAGATGGTCCCTAAGGACCATCATGTTCAAACGAATCATCATGTATTAAAAAATTATTTTCTTCTCCTTTTTTTTTTTTCAAAAGTTTAGGATTTTTACATTCTTTCCCCCTTAAAGAAATTTAGTCCTCTAAATTTGTGTACCTGATTATTGAAAAATATTTTTAAATTTCCTAAAAATCTTAAATCTATTGCTCTGATACCATAATTGTCACACCCCAAGAATTTACAGTACTGTTATTCCTGAGATGTGACAGACACAACATATATACATCTATTGATAGGACAAATTTACAGTGGCGAGGTCTTACAAAGTAAATAAAAAAAGCTAGCACAACAACAGTATCTTCCAAAGTTGATCTTGACTAGCACTCAAAATGAAACCGCAATTATCCTGAAAAATGTTTATCATAGTTTGATGAGTTTGGCTACTCAGTAAGTGATCATCATAATCTTAAAAATAATCATGATTGAAAGATATCAATATTTTTCAAAATGAGATCTATTAATAGAAATGCAGCAACAATTTCACTTTCAATAATTGCATAATTAAGTATAATCCGAGTAATTGAAATGCTTATAACAATTTTAACGACAGTACATAATTCAAAGGATTTCACAAAATACCCTACTGGCGTCCCAAGTAGGTCACATATATACCCCATCAGCGTCCTGATGGGTCCACTTAATCCCTATCGACGTCCCAGATAGGTCCACTTAATCCTTGCAGGTCCACTTATACCTCACCGGCGTACCGGATGAGTCCACTTAATCCCTACTGGCGTCCCAGATAGGTCCACTTATACCTCACCGGCAAACCGGATGAGTCCACTTGCATACTTAAATTATTTCTAAATCTCTTTAAACATTCGAAAGCAGCAATATCATGTACTCAACATATCACTGAAATCATTAATATGAATTTCACTTAAACCATTAATAACAGTCACTTTCTATAACATTTCAAAAATAACCAATCAAATATTTTGGGCTCAAATTTAGAAAGGTAGCAGTTTGTAAAGGTATTCTAGCATAATTGCCAATTTAATATGTATAGAAAAACTCTTATAGAAATTCAAGAATACGGAATTATCACAATTTATGGGATATCAATCCACAAATAAACATTTCACAATAATACTATAATCAATTGCAAAAATGTCAATTTTTAAATAATAAGGCAGTCATTTACACATGAATTTTACAATGTCTAAATATTCAAAACAGTAGAAAGAAATATCACAATTTTATTAAAAGCAGAAATATCACATTTATTTCTAACAATAGACAAGAAAAATAAATAAATTTATTTTTCTAATTTATAGCATTCAAAATTTCTAACATAGATAAAATATCACATTTTTTATCAAAAAGATTATTTTTCAAGATAATGAGGTCACGTGCGCATAAAATTTATCGCGCCTAAAATTCATGATAATAAGCAGAAATAATTATTTCATCTTATTTTTAAAAAGAATGGATTATTTTTCGAGACAATGAAGTCACTTACACACAAAACTGATAAAATAAAGATCCTAGACGGAAATATCACTGTTTATTAAAAATAGACTATTTTTCAGAAAGACGATGTCACTTACCCACAAATACTTGAGAAGGAGCTTCCGATAAAAATTCGGCTAGAGAGAGGAGTTCACTGTGTTTCGACCAGAGAGAAAAATCTCATAAGTTTTCTAAAGTAGGAGTTCTCATCTCTCTGAATTTAAATTCTACTAATATATTATTTTATTCTTTTATTACGTTACAGGTGTGAGCGTTAGGTTACGCTTTAAACGGACTAAAGCCCACGTCCTTCAGTGGACGTGGCAAGCGCAAAGAAGCAACAAAGCTTTTAAACGAAAAGCTTTGAAAAGTAGAGATGGTCCCTAAGGACCATCATGTTCAAACGAATCATCATGTATTAAAAGTTTATTTTCTTCTTCTTCTTTTTTTTTTTCAAAAGTTTAGGATTGTTACATTTATGTTCCACATAATGCCTCCGACACAGTCTTTTGGTAGATTCAGTCCGATGGACTGTACTCTATTAAGTCCATGTATAATCTCTTGTTCCATGACCGTTGGCGTTGGTCGATGCCTCAGATTGCCCCAATCTAGAAATGGCCTTTACCTTTAAAGATACTAGCTTTCCTTTGGCTGGTAGTACAAAATAAGGTTATCACTGTTGACAACCTTATCAAGAGAGACAAGGTGTTACCTAATGTGTGCCTATTGTGTAAATTGGATGCTGAAAAAGGACCGCACCTCTTTCTTCATTGCCCTTTCACTTTTAGAATATTGTGTTGGTTTTTTTATGCACTTGGTCTTACCTTGGTGATGCTCGTTGATGTTCTTGGGATCATCTCAAACTTGTCGGCCCCCCTACCCAAAGCTGGTTCGATCGTATGGTGGATGGCGAGAGGCCTAATACTCTAGGAAGTCTGGAAGGAAAGGAACCGTAGGACTTTTGATGATGTCAGCCTACCTTTTGCGAAGGTGTTAGACAATATTCTTCGTGGCCTGTGGCTCTTCTGTTCAGTTTCAAAGGATTGGTCCGATTTGTTTGAAGTTGATTTCAAGAGGAACCTTTCAATCCTCTTCCGTCTAAATGCCTTCAAAAGTAGGTCGAAGGGTAGATGGGTGCTCCCTTTGGAGGGAACTTTTAAACTTAACTTTGATGGAAGCTCTTTTGGAAATCTTGGTCCGACTGACATTGGAGGGGTTCTAAGAGACTCGAATGGTACGGTGGTGTACTCTTATGCGGGCCCCCTTGGGGACAAAACAACTAACCATGTGGAGATGCATAGCCTTCTTCATGGTTTAAATATCTTCATTGACATGCAACTAGGCCGGTTCTATATTGTGGAGGGGGATTCACTTAACATTATTAATTGGTGTAATGGAACCCATAGGCCCCCCTGAGAGCTTAGGTCCACCCTGCTGCAGATCTAGGATTTGTCTAGGACTCTTGATATTTCATTTTTGCATGTTTTTCATGCTAATGTGCTAGCTGATCTTCTTTTTTAACTTTCGGATACTGTAATCTCATTCTAGCTTCTTTTTAATACAAGTATTGAACTCCTCTCAAAAAAAAAAGAACACAAAGGTGTTAGGACCGTCTAATTGGCAGTGTTTGGGCTTGTCCATCCACATATTGGATAGTAAGGGAGAATGGCTTGGGCCTTAGCGGTATTATTACCGAGCCCCAAAATGAAGTCTCTGACTCCATTCTTATTAAAAAGTTGGGGCCTAAATCCCACTTACCACTTTTCACTACCCAAAAAAAAATCAGATGGTAAGGCACTAAGGATCGGAGCATTTATAGGACCATATGTATAACGTATAATGCTTAACTTTACCTTTTAAATGAAGTAAAAATTGCGTATGGGCTGGTTATATTTATAAGAAATAGATTTTGGGCCCAAATATAGTAGTTTTAAATAGAAATTCTGTTTTTTTTTCTACTTTTTTTTTTTCAGTTTTACTTGCTAAACACTTGGCCACATTTTTCTGTTTTTCAGGCCTAGTGACCTTGTGTAATAATTTATCAAAATTTAGGACCAAAAACGTATTTCTGGAAAATAGAACTAGTCCGTACATAATTTTTCCTTAGACAAAAAAATTCAAAAACCTCCTAGACTAATTACTTGAGCTTAAATTCGATTAAATTCACTTGAAATAAAAACTACGCTAAATAAATAAATATTAAATGCCTGAAAATTTCATGCCCTTGGGGGAGCATGTTGCCTATTTATTCCCTCGAGACTTGAAAATAAGCTAGTCTAGGAGTATTTTTAAGACCAAAACTTGGTGATGTAACCTCTTCAATGAATATGCTATACTCAATAAACTTTTTTTTCAAATTTCATTCTATATAGGCTTGGAAAACAAAATGCCTCCAGATTGAATTGAAACCATCCAAATTTCACCATTGAGATATTGGTCTTAGAGATCTCAAAATTCAATTATTTTGAATATAATTATCAAGTAATTATTAGGTAATTCCCAAAATTTCATACAAAAATTCCTCAAGTCAGTTTTATGCCCGAGAGAACAAGTGTACAATAGATGCTCCCATAGGTAAATAGTTATTTGGATAGAAGAAGAAAGGATGGGTTTCATGTTTAAATTTTAAAGGGATTGTGTATAAAGAGATTATTTTGTATATAGATGTCATAATCACTCTCTCTCATTAGATGTCAAAATGGATAGCTGGGAGTGAGTTATGAAATCCTCAACTATTTTTTTTTTTTTTTGTGTGTTTATTCAACGACACACTTGCAACTGCCTTTTTTGAAATTTAAGGGATAAAAATGATTGTGACCTTGAGACATAAAAGATAATGGGTACGATTTCTATAAGGTTGGAACCTTAAACAATCCAATTACGGTGCAACTCCAAATTTTATCATAACATGAAATTTTGGTGTAAAAAATTATTAGCAATATTTGAAAATCCATTTTATCTTTAATTATAAAATTTTAAACTCCAAAAATAATTAAAATTAAGCAGATCTATAAATTTATGAAAATCTTAAAAATTGACGGTCTAGATACGGGGTTACAAGATGCACTATTCCCGGGACTCAAAATCTTTTTCTTTTTTTTTATATTTATACATCTCGATATTGAGATGGTCAATTAGAGGTTTTTTTACATTAAATCGATATTTTCCGATTTTTGAGGTGCATCTATGACTCTACATTTAAGGTTGCAACCATATGTAAACTTTTTGGTTTCTTATCATGGGTACTTTAGGAAGCAAGGAAACACAATGAGTTTCTTTGCCATGGAAAAAAGCAGATGAGGAAACATATGAACCTGCGCAAGACAGACAGAGAAACTCGGTTCAGTTATGAGAGAAAGAGGAACTCGGTACAGTTATGACAGAGATGAACTCGGTACGGTAATCAATATGCATTCATTGTTAAAAAAAATTCCGAAGAAATGCAATACGAGTCATTACTCGAGGGGAGAGAGAGGAAGGAGAATTAGAGACCATTACCGAACCCATGAGAGAGAAAGAGAGAGATAGGGGACCTTAATCTCAGAGCCCTTCGTCTGCCATCTCCGGCCCTGCCACGTGTCCCTCCGGCGCTATCCAAGCCGTCGATTGGACTTCAGGGAGCAACCCATCCTTCTCCAAAACCGATCCCGTCTCATGGAACAAACCATCCTCATACGCGTTTGGGACCATCCAATCCCATACTCCAAATCGTGGAAATGGCACAAAGATACTGTGCACCAAGATCCTCGAATCATACATCACATCGCACCCCTTTAATGGAACGAAGTTAATCCTCAGAGAGCCCCTAACCGAGCCGGGGTTCGTGACCACGAGGTCCTGGCCGCTAACCAGGGTCTGTAGGATCGAGCCCATGTGTAACTGGGCCAGGTCCGATCCCTTCAAATAACGGTCGGGCACGATATGGAACCTCACGTTGTGAACGTAGGCGTACCCTCCATTTAAAATAGAGCGGTCATCGAGGGCAAAGACGGTCATATTTTGTAGGCCCACGAGTTCGCCGTACTTGATTCTCAAGGCCAGGCCCACGATGCTGAAGCCCGAGGATCGAAGCCTCAGCATCGCGTCTCCCAGAGATGAACGCATTGTGATCGCCGGAAAATTGTTCGGGAAAAGAGATGGGGTTTCTTTTCCGGCGTCAGTGGTATTTTCCGTCGGACAGGTCAGAGGGAAGGTGTAGTTTTCCGGCGAGCAGGTGACCGAGTAGTGTAGTTTCCCGGCGAGTAGGTGAGGGGGGAGGTGTGGTTTTCTGGCAAGTGTGGGCCCGGGGAGGTGTAATTTTCCGGCGAGTAAGGGAGAGGGATGGTGTGGTTTAATGTTGAGTTGGTATTGGCGCAGGTGTAGTTTTCCGGCAAGTAAGTGAACGGGGAGGTATAATTTTCAGGAAATTGGGTGGAGTTTTCCTGGGAGAAACAGGATTGAGGGGAAAGAGGGAAAACGAAGCCATCCAAGCCATGGATCGCAAGGAGAGCGTCGTTGAAGAGATCAGGGTGGGTGATTTGGACGCCATCGATCAAGACGTTGGTGGTGTTCTCAGTTGAGTTCATGGACGTCACAGTGATGCAACGATCGGAGCTCATGGTTTGGATCTTGGTTCCATGAGCGAGCTTAGAGAGATGGTGGTAAGTGAACAAACCAGGGATTATGTGCTCTTTGAGGATTTGAGGGCGAGAACAACGGGAGCAAGAACGAATGGCCTGGTCATCAATAGCGAAAAGAGTTGCAGGGCCAGCCCAAGAAGAGAGATAAGAGTCGTATAAATACGGAACTGCCATGGCCAGCTCTGTGTAACCAAGGTTTGTGAGGATCGGGGCGAGCAGGGTGTGGGTTTCAGGGTAATGGGGCAATGGTGGGCGCGCCATGGTGGTGATGTTAAAACCTTGAGGGTAGAGAGAGATAGAGAGGGATCCTTGGGAGTTGCAGAGGATGAAAATGGCGAAGCAGAGGAGAGAGAGTTCAAGGCGAGTACCCATTTCTGTTTAGATATGAGAGAGAGGACTTCTTCAACTTTCAAGAAAATAATGGGTTTTGCAGAGAAAGTGAAAAATAATGAACAGAACGTGTTGGAGACATAGAGAGAGCCGGGAGGAAGAAGAAGACGAAAATTGGACGCAAGAATTGCAGAGCAAAATAGCGAAGGCGAGTTAGAGAGACAAAAGGAGAGGGGGAGAGAGAGCGAATCAGTTTTACATGGAACTGCATCAGTACGGACCCTACTTTATGGATGGCTTGCTGAGTGTTTTTTCTTAGTGCACTTGAGGAGCACAAATCTTTTAGAGAAATGGCGAGTGCAATATAGGGCCAACTTTTGAATAAGGGATTTATACTATAATAATTTTTATTTTTACCTAGAAGGCGGCCACGATTCACTTTTAGCCTTCGGATGTAAAATCTAATACATGAACGTATATCACAAATCTTTTTTACCAAAGGTAAATGGTGCCATGATACATATCCCACGTATCATAAGATACTTTACTTTTCTTTATAATTAAAAGAAAAATGATGTATGGACTAATTATATTTACCATAAACTCATTTTTGCCCATTTTCAGTCAATTTACATAAAAATTCTCTCTTTTTTGGGTGGTTTTTTAATTTTAGTTTTACCCACCACCACATTTTTTTTTATTTTTATTCTTATTGATGATGGGCAGTAATGCTTAGAAAGGATTGCCCCATAAACCACAAAAAACAAATAAATAATAAAAATTATGGTCAACATCTAACCTAGGACAAACTAGAAAAAGAAAAAAAAAAAAAGAAAAAACAAAGGGGAACTCTGTAAAAAATAACCAAACATTTGGGACCAAGGTAAAAAGTACAATCCATATGTAATTTTCCTTAGACAAAATACTAAGTGTTAAAAGATTTAATGCTCATGGGGGAGTATACTGTCCATATACTCTAATATGGGACTATTTAAAGGATCCCAAAATGTTGGAATGTAACCTCTTCAACCATATGCTATACACAATATAAAGATTTTTCAAACTGCATTCCATGTAGGTTTGAAAAAAATATTGCCTCAAGATTGAATAAAAACTGTCCAACTCAAAATTTAAAATTTCTCTATGTATTTCTAGGTAGTTCACATAAAATCATCTGCCCAAGGGAGTAAGTGTACAAAATATGCTCCGGCAGGTGCATAGTATATCAGCCCAGATTGAATACTTTCTTAATTTATGAACTTTTGTAAGTATTCGGTAGTGTATATCGTTGTCCCATTTTATGGTATCGATTCCCAAAGCAGCGGTACTTTAGGTATAGTCCGTACTGTACGAGAATAACAAAAAAAACACTTTTTACGACCCTCTCTCTCTCTACTTCGCCATTTTCCGCTGCAATTCTTGCGTTCGATTTCTTCTTCTTTCCTCTCTCTCTCTGCAACGCGCTCTGTTCATTTTTTTTTACCTTCTCTGCAAAACCCATTTTCTTTAAACACTCAAGAAACCATGTCTCTCTCTTATCGCTTAACTAAAATGGGTACTCGCCTTCAACTCTCTCTCCTCTGTTTCGCCATTTTCCTCCTCTGGAACGCCCAAGAATCCCTCTCTTTATTTCTCTTCCCCATCCCCTCTCAAGGATTCAACATCACCACCACGGCGCACCCACCATTGCCCCATTACCCTGAAACCCACACCCTGCTCGCGCCGATCCTCACGAACCTTGGCTACACAGAGCTGGCCATGGCGGTTCCCTCTTTATACGACTCCTATCTCTCTTCTTGGGCTGGTCCTGCAACTCTCTTTGCCATTAATGACCAGGCCATTCGTTCTTGCTCCAGTTGCTCTCGTCCTCAAATCCTCAAAGAGCGCATAATCCCTGGTCTGTTCACTTACCACCATCTCTCTAAGCTCGCTCATGGCACCAAGATCCAAACCATGAGCTCCGATCGCTGTATCACTGTAACCTCCATGAACTCAACTGAGAATACCACCAAGATCTTGATCGATGACGTCCAAATCACCCGCCCTGATCTCTTCAACGATGGTCTCTTGGTGATCCATGGCTTGGATGGCTTCGTTTTCCCTCCCTCACCTCAATCCAGTTTCTCGCCGGAAAATTATACCTCTCCCCTCACTTACTCACCGGAAAACCACACCTCCTCCGATCCCTATTCAACAATAAACTACACCAGCCCTCTCACTTACTCACCGGAAAACTACACCTCCCCCAATACCAACTCCACAGTAAACTACACCAGCCCCCTCACCTACTCGCCGGAAAACTACACCTCCCCCCCAACCTACTCGACGGTAAACTACACTACCCCCCTCACCTACTCGCCGGTAAACTACACCTCCCCCGATACGTACTCACCGGCAAACTACACCCTCCCTCTGACCCAACCGACGGAGAACACCACTGGCGCCGGAAAAGCAACACCATCTGATTTCCCGAACACTTTTCCGACGATGTCGATGCGTTCATCTCTCAGAGACGTGAAGCTGAGGCTTCGATCCTCGGGCTTCAGCATCGCGGCCCTGGCCATGAAACTCAAGTACCGCGAGCTCGTGGCCCTGCGAAATATGACCATCTTTGCCCTCGATGACCGCTCTATTTTACATGGAGGGCACGCCTACGTTAACAACGTGAGGTTCCATATCGTGCCCGACCGTTATTTGAAGGGATCAGACCTAGCCCAGTTACAGGTGGGCGCACGCCTACGGACCCTGGTTCATGGCCAGAACCTCGTGGTCACGAACCCTGGCTCGGCTGTGAGCTCTCCGAGGATCAACTTCTCTCCACTGAAGGGGCTCGATGTGGCGTACAATTCGAGGATTGTGGTGCACAGTATCTCTGTGCCATTTCCACGAATTGGAGTAGCGGATTGGATCATCTCGAAAAGGTTGCCTCATGAGATGGGATCGACCGCGGAGATTGCGCCGGTTGGACGTGTAGCTGCGTTGGTGGCCGTGGATAATGCGATCGGAGGCTGATTTCCTCGGCCCCCCTCTCTCTCTCATTCTTTGTTTTTCTCCATTTTTTTTCTCTTTCGGAAAGGGGAGCTCGCCGGAATCTTGTGCGGTTAAGTCGCCGGTAAATTTCAACGATTTAAGGGTTGGAGAGGATGTGAATTTGGGACTTCGAAATCTGACACACTCAAATTGGAAGACTTTTTTCTTGTTTTCTGCGTTTTTGCTCGCCCTTTTTCTCCCTTCTTATGCCATTAATGTTAATAAGCTTTTCCGACACGAGAAAAGCTTACGATCATATAGAATCTACAATGCTCATTGTATCACCATTAATTCAATGTATAGATGGTGATGGAGTCAGGGTGTTAGCTACCACGTCTCTGGTCATATCACGTTTAATCGGTCTAACACCTTATGTTATTTTTTAATGGAAATAGGTTATATGAGGTGGCAACCTTAAAATGAAGAATTAAGGTGCAACTCAAAAATCCATCCAAAAAATTAAAATGTAGAATTAAGGTGCAACTCAAAAATCCATCCAAAAAAAAAAATATTGTGATGTTGAAAAGCCCTCTAATTGATCGGTAGGAAAATGGTTTGATAGGGCTATAGTTTATCAAAATAAATATAGTTTCACCTCATAACTCATGTAATTCAAACCTTAAAAAATCTTTAAATTAATCATCTTGGCTTCAACATTATGGCGATAAAAATATAGGATTTTATGCTCTAAAAATAGTGTATATTATAACAAATTATCTAGATCGTCCATTTTACCAAAAGAATAAATGTTCATAGATAGATTTGTACCATTTTTTTAGTTTCAAATTTCATTGTCAGTATTAAAAATTGATTCTTGGAGACTTTTGTTGCGGAAAGTACTTTCCAGAGGATTTGAGGTGAGGTTTTTTTTTTTTGTTTTCATGAAGCCTAAGCCTTATAGAACCCTCATCCTTGATCATTTCAACATTGCTATGTATGAATATGTGAAAAAAGAAAGATTTTGAGTCCCAAAAATAGTGCATTTTGCAATATGATATCTGAATTGTCTATTTTTTAGAATTTCAAGAGTTTAAATATTTACTTGATTTGAACTATTTTTGGAGTTCAAAAGTTCATAATTATAGATGAAAATTGATGGTCAAGCTATCCTAAAATTTTTGTGCACCACAGATATATCATCATTGTCGAAGCCTTTTCCCAACTAATTGGAGTACTGCGGCACGTCACGTCTGGGGAAAGCCTAACTAAACCTTGATTTGTCACTATATCCGGGTTCCGATACAATGCGATGTACACAATATTTCACAAATATTCAGTTTTTAACTTTACCCAAAGTACTGATTTTAATGACCACGCAATCACAATCGGATACCAATACCATATGGTTGAGAAAATCTCCTCTAGACTAATAATAAGAAATTTCCATAGAAAAAGCATACATTGTAATTTTGCCTTTGAAGTTCGAAGGAATCGGTATTTGCATAGCTATAATGGTTAACGCGCCTGAACCTCATGTAAGAATTTTTTGAGAAAGTTTTTTGATAGTTAATTTCAATGAAATCTACACGATACTAAAGAATATGAGTTTTAAATTGGGAAATTTACAAAAAAATTCGTGTTTTATTTTGAAAATTGAAAATAGTCTCATACATCTCGTATTTTACAGTCAAATCCACTTTGTAAGAGTATAAAGGGCATTCTTATTTGGAAATAAAGGGCATTCTTATTTGGAAAATTGTTTCATGCGTGCTGATCCGGAAAATGTAAAGCATCCATCTTAAAGAAAGATGGATGCAAATAGGTGTTCCATCAAAAAACAATGGAAACTAATGATCCAAATGTTTTCTTATTAAAATTATTATTTAATTTTTAAAATTTATTTATTTTTTCATTTCATATTTTTTCATACTCACTACATGTCTTTAAAATTTAGACGTAAAATTCATCTAAAAAATTAAGTCTTAAAATTCATTTAAAATTCATACATTTTCATATTCATATGCAGGCTTGGTGGCATAGAAACCGGGTCCTTTTTATTTTAATTTCATATTCTCATACATATCATCATCATAAAACAAAAAATATATATTAGAAAACAATTTGAACTTATAATCACCAAAATACCGTCCCAGTGTTGAGGAATATTTTTGTTATTTTATTGTTTGAATTATTTTTAAATGTTTTACAGGTGTATAAGGATGAGTGTAAGATATGGAATATAAAAAAGTAGTTTTTAATTTTAAAAACAAAACATGATTTTTCTGTAAATTTTCTATTCAAATATTAGGATTATTTAATTATTCTCAATAAAATTCGAGGGTAAATTAACTCATTTTATGAGAAGCGGGCAACAAGCAGAGGGGCTAAAGTGCGATATTCAGTACTTAAACATGGGTATTTTCGCTATTCGAGAGATATTCTGGACTCTTAGAGCCATTTCTGTTAAAGAGCCGGGCACTTTACGTCACTAAGAAACAAACTCTTAACGACCCCCAAGAACCATAGTCCTTACTGTAACAGAATACGTACGAAACTTCAAACCCCTCCCGCCTTAAGCTTCTCATGTCACTTGGCTCCATTCTCTCTCTCTCTGCTTTCTCTCTCTCTCTGCTTTCTCTCTCCACTTTCTCTGCAACTCGTGTGTTCCATTTCTTCTCCTTCATTTGCACTGTGCAACCTCTCTCTCTTACTTAATCTTTCTCTCTCTCTCTCTGCAACACACTGTTTCACTCTCTCTGTGAAACCCTCCGTTTATTGTTTGCTTGAAGGTCTCAGGAAACGATCACTCCCTCTCTCTCTCTCATATCGCACCACGAAAATGGGTAATCGCCTTCAACACTCTCTCATCTGCTTCTCCATTTTCCTCATCTGCAATGCCCAAGAAACCCTCTCTTTCTCTCTCTCCCCCCTAGCCGCTCAAGAATTCAAAACCACCACCGCCTACCCGCCATTTCCCTATTACCCTGAAACCCACACCTCACTCGCCCCAATCCTCTCAAATCTTGGGTACAAAGAGCTAGCCATGGCCGTACCCTTCTTTTACGACTCCTATCTTTCTTCTTGGACTGGCCCTGCAACTGTCTTTGGCACTAATGACACGGCCATTCGTTCTTGCTCCCATTGCTCTCGGACTCAAATCCTCAAGGAGCGCATAGTCCCTGGTTTGTTCACTTACCACCATCTCTCTAAGCTCGCTCATGGAACCAAGATCCAAACCATGAGGTCCGATCGCTGCATCACTGTAACCACCATGAATTCAACTGAGAACACCGCCAAGATCTTGATCGATGGCGTCCAAATCACACGTCCTGATCTCTTCAACGACGATCTCCTGGTGATCCATGGCTTGGATGACTTCGTTTTCCCCCTCTCTCCTCTATCCTGTTTCTCGCCGGAAAAACCCCCATTGACGGAAAGCGCAAACGATATGCCGGAAAACGACACGTCCACAATGAGCCCCACGCCGGATAACGCCACGGACGTCGGAAAAATGACTCCATCCAGTGCTCCGGCGACTTTTCCGGCGATATCGATGCGTTTATCTCTCAGAGACGCGATGCTCAGGCTTCGAGCTTCGGGCTTCGGTATCGTGGCTTTGGTCCTGAGAGCCAAGTACCCTGAGCTCGTGGAACTTGGAAATATGACCATATTTGCCCCTGACGATGCCTCTATTTTCAGTGGAGGGTACGCCTATGTTAATAACGTGAGGTTCCATATTGTGCCCGACCGTTATTTGAAGGGATCTGACCTAGCCCAGTTGCACCTGGGCTCTAGCCTGCAGACCCTGGTTCGAGGCCAGGAGCTAGTGGTCACGAACGCTGGCTCGAGTGTGGGTTCGCTGAGGATCAACTACGTTCCACTGAAGGGGCCCGATGCGGTGTACAATTCGAGGATTGTGGTGCACAGTATCTTTGTGCCATTTCCACGTATTGGAGTACCCGATTGGGTGGTCTCGAACGCCTTTGAGGATGGTTTGTTCCATGAGGTGGGTTCGGTTTCGGAGGCTCATGGTTTGGATCTTGGTGGCATGAACGAGCCTAGAGAGAGGCGATCCGTATCAGAGGATGATGTGTTCTTCCCTGAAGTGGAATCGACGGCCTGGATGGCGCCGGAGAGGCAGGTGCCAGAGCCAGCGATCACGGACGAAGGGCTCTGAATGTCTCTCTCTCTTGTAAAATTCATGGTGCTTTTTGCTTACATTTCTTTGGAGTTTGTTTGTTTGTTTGATGAACAATGAATACTGATTGATTACGAATTTTTCCGATTCTCTATCTTCATTTCCCTCCTTAGGCACTTGAAATTTATTAAGATTTTCAATTTTCAATTAAGGATTGAAAATTCTTACTAATTTAGTTGGGATGTTTGATTACTGTCCATTGATCTGCAATTAAGTACTGTTTAAATTAAACCGATTATCCTCCTCAAAGTGCAATTGAGCATGTTTCCTCACAACAGTAATCGTAAGCAGTCCATAACTTCAAATCCTCCTTATCCGCGAATGCGAAAAGCGACCTCGTCATCCTGCCATCAGCGTCCATTTTCAAGATTATCGTTCATGATGAACATTTTCATTTGTTTATAGATGTACTTGATTTGAATCATTTTTGAAGTCTAAAATTTTATAGTTAGAAATGAATCGGAATATTTTATACCAAAATTACATCTTATAATAACCATAAGATGCACCTTACTTTAATTTTGAGCTGGAAATTAAATACGTTGGTGAAGGGGCATGGGATGAATTTCTCCCCAAAGGACTTTCCAAAAAGCATACTAAATCGTACAAATTTACTACTCACCTTATATACATATAAAAAATTGGATATGCAAAGATAACACGAACGAGATTGTGAGTTGTAGTTAGTGTTTGTGTACAACTTTGAATTATAAATTTTATATCCTTACCTAGTATCATTGGAGGCATACTTGAAACAATTTTGTCTTAAGTTTTAGTCATGATAACAAAAATGCTTACTATGTTGTTATCATACAAAACATATGATAGATTTATTGGGAGCATATAAAGCAATAAAACTTCACTAGCAAACAACGAGAACAGAAGATATATGATTATCATTTTTTTAAAAAAATGACCTTTAGTATAGGAATGCAATTAACTAAATAAAAACCCAAAAATATAAAATAGTAGTTCATCCAAATTGTTATGTTGCATATAATAATGAATTAAAAAATTGAAAAAATGAAATTAATCAAACTTCTGTATGCCACAAAATGCTTAAGAAAATCCAAATATTCGAAACTCACCCTAAAATGCTAACTCCTTAAGCAATTAGTTGTCATTGAATGTCTCTTTTGCTTTTTATTATAACATTCTTTTGTTCGAAATTTTTTTATTGGGTTACTCTTCTTCTAACTCAAAATATTATTTTTTGATATATGGTTGTTTTGATGGATTATTTTTTAGAGAATTTATTGCAATTTTTTAAGGTAACATATAGTTGAAAATCTTTGATGGAAATTTTTTTCAAATCAAATATTCCCAATTTACTTCAACTTTTAATGTGCTTATCTTTAAAGCAAAATTCAAAGATATTAAAGATAAAATTGATAGGAAAGAAGCTTTTTTGAAAAAAATAAAAGTATGGATTTATATCGGTTTCATTAAAAAAAAACACATTTTTTGAAGATCTTTTGAAAAACTCACGAGTTATTACCAGAGATTTGCTTTAAAAAAATTGTGACTTGCTAACTATAGTTGTGTTATCCCACATGGCTAGCAGATTTTCTTGAATTGAAGTTTAGAATGTTTAAATCAATTTACTCATCATGGATGCCAGTGTTTAAAAACGTGGGAAGCGACCTATGTGGCGTTCGACTCGGGGATCTAAAAAACATTTATAAAAATCCAAAGATAAAAGGAATTTATTTGTAATATGTTTTGTATATTTTCTCTCATTTTGACATGTTTTGGTCACGAATACTTATTTTTATAATTCCTTTTTATTTCTAAATTACCCCCATTTCAAAATCATTTAACCTCATTTATATGTGTTTTGTTTAAGTTAATGTTAAACATATTTTCCTATTTTTTGCAATTTCTTATATTTTTTTAACACTTTTTGGCTTGCCAGGAACCGGCGGTATGGGGCCGAGTCCCATCCTCGAGTAGTGCAACGAGAGTGATATAGAGGGGAGAATCACCGTGCAATTTCAGCTGCTTGCTTAGCAAGCTCAGTGTGTACTTGGTGAAGTTGCGAGGGCTCTGGTTGCCGGAGACCATGGAGGAGCCCTGGGCAACTGCCCATTTTGCCTTCTTATCCACCGTCCCAAAAACCTTTTTTTTTTGTTTGTTTTTGCTGTGAATGTAGGAAGTGAACGCATGCAACCATACAAAATCAAAACCAAATGAGAGAAAGCGGTGGGTGCCTGGAACCTGATTTTGGGGATTATTTTTTAGGGACCCTTTTCTGCTTTTAATTGGTTGCTTAATAATGTATATGAACCAAATGACTATGCCTCAAAAGGACCTTTTTTGAATGATACCTCTCATTTTGTATCACATTTTAATTTGCCATGATGTGCTTTCTTTTCTTTTCTTTTTTTTTCTTTTGTGTGTGTATGAGGGGGGTTTTAATTTTGTCCGGTGGCCCGAGGCAGCGTTTCTTGTTTGCCTTAGACTTTCAGTAAATGGTGCTCAATTTACTTGGACTAATAATAGCATCTCCAACTTGGTATGAGTAAGTTGGATAAATTTTTGGTCTCTAATGACTGGGAGAATGCATTCCCTTTCCTTTGTGTGAATGCTTTGCCAAAATTATTGTCAGACCGTTGGCCTATTATTTTGAATACTGATAAAGGTGTTCAAGGACATCGGCCTTTTTAGGATGGACATAGTATGGCTTGAGGAGACAGATGTTATAAATTTAATAGAACAGAGTTGGGCCAATACTATTATCCATGGATGGAGTGGTTATCGGTAGCATACAAAGCTGGTGAATGTGAAACATAAGCTTATCCAGTGGAAGAAGAATACCAAATATAATATGAAGATTAGAATTGTTAATGAACTCCAGAACAATAAGATGCAAGATGAAGAGGGTACAAAAGATCGGCTTTTTGACAGGCAGGTTACGTTCTCAGAAGGAACGGGTTTTGGTATCTCTCCTTGAATTGATGCGGTTTAGAAGAAATTTATTAGAAACAAAGATCACGAGTGAAATGGCTAAAGGGAATTTGAACAATGAATTCTTCTACTCTATTACTAGTTCTATGAGGGTCCATTTGGGTACTTGGATTAGACTGTCCTAGGGATAGGCTTATACTGGAATTGGTCTGTCCTTTAGATATGGTTGTCTGCTGTTTGGAAGCATTTGATAAGAAACATGGATATGCTTGTCTACTATTTGGATTGTCGGGAATAAGCGCATCCATGAAAATGGATTAGGAAATTGAAAACAATGAATGAAGCATTGCTTTCAAAATGGTGGTGAAAGTCAGTTATTGATGATATAATGTTGTAAAAAGAAGTGATTATCACAAAATACGGTTTCAATGAGAAATTGATGCTGATAGATGGAGAACAAAATAGAGGGGGGAAGTCTAAGCTTTGGAAGGGGATTTTGTCATGCAGAAGGCTCTTTGCAAAAGTGGCTAGGAGATAGGGCGCGGCGCTGAAGTATAGTTTTCCAGAGGGTTTCTAATCCTATGGCTAAGAACAGTGACTTGTATTGCTTCAATAAATAGATGATCTCGTAGGACATTGTGAGTGTTTATAATAGAGTTTCGGAGTTAGTCATGGTGCAGTTGGAGGTGCTGTTAAAGGAATCAGATGCAATTCATTTATCACTGAATTTTGAAGATGTGGCAGTGTGGGAAGCTGGATGTTTTTCTGTTAGATTTGCTTACAGCCTTCTATTCCACGATAGAATGAGATGACAACAATCCTTCTATTCAACGATAGAATGAGATGACAACAATCGGCTTTACAGAAAGTATGAAAGTGGCATATACCGCATAAAATTTTTCTTTGGGTCCTTTTTCAAGGTAAAATTTTAACATATTACGTTTGGGAGATGAAGAAAAAGGCAACCACTTATTTTTGTTCACCGATTTATGGATGTGGGCTGCTAATAAGTTTGGGATTGTTTTCTCTTTGCTAATGAGACGTACAGATATATTGAAACATGCCAAATATTGTATGTTTGCTTTGAAGGATGTTTCGTGTGGCTCTGCTGTGGGAAATTTGGATGGAGTGAAACAGAAGAACGTTTGATGGGAAACATTTACGGATATATGGAATCAAAAATAAGATTGTACACAATGTGTGGAGTTGGTTCTCGTCTACAAAAGAGGGTGTTGGTATTTCTAAACCCGATATTTATTTCAACAATCCTAACCTCTATTTAATTCACTTTGTCAAGGTGAGACCAAAAGGTGTATAGACTCATCCTTTGGTTGGCTGTGTGAAGTTAAATTTTGACGGTAGATCTTTGAACAATCTTAGACTAGCCGGTTATGATGGTATAGTGATGGATGCACAACGGTCGGTCCTTTTTTGTCAACTGCAAATGAAGCTTAGATCATGACTCTTTTACAAAGTTCGACAATTATTAGAGACAAAGGGGTTGATAGATATTGTGGCGTAGGAATTCTATAAATGTGATCAATTGGTGCAATCATATTTCTAAGCCCCTTTGGACTTCAATAACTCTTTGGAGAAGGGTTATGGAGTTGGCTTTTGGGTTGAACTATTCCATTTTCATGTATTTATAAGGAGGGCAATGAGATCGTTAATGGATTAGCTACCTGGTGTTCCCAAGCAGGGTCTGGTGATATCGGATTCATTGGTGTGAAAGTCGTATTCTGATATTTTTTATTGTACTCTTTGACATGATTTTATTAATGAAATAGAGTACGGAATCTTAAAAAATTATAAAAAAGAATAGTCCCTCTCCCTCCCACATAAGCTTCATATGAATTTGATGCAAAGATAATTTGCATCAGAATTCCACGTAGCACCAAATCTATTAGATTTTGTTACAATGTTAAACCAAGTTTGCGTTGGAAAGCATAAGATAACACATAAAGTGAAGAGTGTGTTATAATTGTGAAGGAGTATACCGTACATTTACTCTTTTGGGCAAATTACTTCGAGATTTTTTTTTATGAAATTTTAAGGTCATCTAAGTGATTATATCAATGAAAAAACTAAGATTTTAAGCTCTTGAACATCTAAATCATTCCCCCAAAAATTGGACGGTAACTATGCAATCTTGGGT